AGCGTGGTAATAACCAGCAGCAGCGCGGTCGTAACCAGCAGCAGCAGCAGGGGAATTCGGGCAACAACGGCAACCAGGGAGATTCGAACGGAAAGAAGAAGCGTAAGCGTGGCAAGAAGGGCAAGGGCCAGAATGGGAACAATGCCGCCGTCGTCGACTCGGACAGCGATGACGAAGACGACGGCAATATGCAGAACTCTCTCCAGTTCGCTCCCATTAACGAGGTTCTCACCTTCGGCCCTCCTCGCACCGACCTCGACCCATCCACTCGTGACGTTCGCCGTCATTCCAAACATCCCGCTCACCGTCCCTCTAATGCCTCTCTTCGCATTCACAAGAAGGCGAAGAAGGGTATCGAGCTTGCGCATGAACTCGGTGTCAAAGCGACGCCTGACGTTATCCGCGCCCTCGAACCCTGCGGCCATATCTCGGAGGTCGAAAGCGACGATGAAGGCGACGCTGGTCCGTCCCAGAAGCGCATGCGTACCCTCGCGGATCGCATTGCTCCCGCTCCGGACGCGGAAAACGGCATCACCGCTCCTACCCCTCCTCACCCCTCTACCTTCGGATACGAGGACTTCGGCGAGTTGCCGCCCTCTCCTGCGTTCCCTCCATTGTTTGACACCCCGGTCTCTCTCGGAGATCCGGATGAGCCGATGACTTTGGACTTGGACGCGGAGATCGCCGACATCGCTGGAATTTTGGGGAACATGGGGTCAGTACCTTCTTCCCACCATCATGCAAATTGTGCTAACTCGCCCTTATTGGTCGCAGAGAAACGCGTATGTAATTGGTCTGTTTTATCGTCGGACATTTTATCGCGCATGTACAATTTTCGTATTGATGTTAAATATATTTCGCATGACTTGTGTGTGCATCATCTAAACTTTGCCGCTTGTCCGAAATGTAAGGGAAAAGGTCATCGCCATGGAAAAACCAATGAAAAGGTGTGGATGAACGACTCCGGTTGCTCTGAACACACCACGTTCGACTTAAACGATTTCATTGAGTTCCATGAGCTGGAACAGAAAATCACAGTTCGCACTGCAACGGCAGTTGCCTTCATCACAGGTGTTGGCACTGTCTTAGTCCACTTCAAAGACGCAGACGATGATGAGATACAGGTTGCAAGACTTGCACCTGTTTTCTACATGAAAGAATGCACTGCGCGCTTAATTGCGCAAGGTCGCTTCCTTCAAGATGGCAAAACTGTTCAGGGTGATGCTCATTCAGTGACGTTCTGGGACAAAGACGAGTTGTTTCTCTCTTTCGAACCCAGACTCCTGTTTGACACGATATATGTCTTACACGACTATTCGCCGCAACCCCTAGTACGCAATGCCATTGCTTACTCGGTAGATCATACTACCATGCATCGCCGCCTGGGTCACCCCTCGCGCGAAGTACTCAAGCATCTGAGATAAAGAGGAAATTTGTGAAGGTTGTGCCAAGGGAAAGATGCACCTGCGTCCATTCCCGTCAACCGGTCGTCGGGCTGAAAAGCCTTTCGAGACAATACACTCGGACTTGAAAGAATTCCCTGTGACATCGTACCACAAATACAAGTACACAATTGTCTTCTTCGACAATTACACGTCATATGGCTGGAACACCCACCTTAAAACCAAAGACGCAGCCTTTAATGCGATAAAGCAATTTATTGCGATGGTTGAACGCCAGTTTCCGAGTTATAAAATACTCAACTGGATGTCTGACGGTGGAGGTGAATACAGGTCGGGGAAACTCGACGAATTCTTCGAGGACAAAGGCATAAAGGCACTCTATTCCGCTCCCTACATCCACCAACAGTCCGGACATGCCGAACGGTTCATCCGTACGACTGTGGACAAAGGTGAGACCATGCGCTTTCAAGCGTGTCTCCCTGAATCCTGGTGGGAATTTTCTATCAACCACGCGGTACATGTGTATAATCGTACACCTATCCGTCGTCTTGAATGGAAAACTCCATACGAGGCACTTCATGGCTCAGTTCCGCGCATAGACCACTTGCGTGTTCTTGGCTGTGGCGCTTATGTGTTTTTACACGAGGATGCTCGTAAGAATAAACTCGCGCCTAAGTCAGAACTGATGACATACCTCGGAACTTCAGACGGTGGACACGGCAACATTTTCATGCGGGAAAACAATTCAATGTTTACCGCAGCACATGTGCTGTTTGATGAGAACCTCTTTCCTCGGTGCTCTGAGTCAAACAGACACAAGTCTAACCGACTTCCTCATTGGAAAGATCCACAACCCACCATCCCACCCGATGATGACGGCGATGTTCCGCCTCATCAACACTATCCTCCTGAAAGGAGACCGGATCCGGAGCAAGACGTTGCACCGCCCGCTGTACCACAGCGTGATCCGAGTCCGCCGCCACAACCCCGGAATGAACCGCCTGCTCCTTTACAAGAGCCTAGGCGTTCAGGTCGTGAGCGGAGAGCCCCCACTCGTCTTACTGGTGGCAAAGGACCTTTGCCTACCGAACAGCAGATAGAGCCACCTACGAAGGGTGCTCAGAGGCGTGCTCAAGGTCCTCAGCCAGGTCGCTCCTCGGCAGGACAAGAGTCAAATGATCAGAATCAGGTTCCCGGACCTAGTTCTGAGCCAAACACCTCTGGCCACGGCGAACCTTCGGTAGCTCCCGGTGACGAAGCTGGTATCCTGGCTAGACTATGTCGGGAAGGGGGAGCCGAATTGATACATTTTCTCATGGCTAAAGCTGTCCCACTTGAGGGGGAGTTTAGGCCCGCTGAGAACGTCCGAGAATGGACGTACAAGGACATAGCTCGCTTACCCAAAGCTGAGCGGGATGAATGACTTCAGGCCTGCCGTGAAGAGCTGGAGGCTCTCAAACGGCGTGGCACGTTTGAAGCAGTGGATCGCCCCGCCGACCGCAAGGTCATAAAGAACCGCTGGGTCTTCGACATCAAATCTGATGGTCGTAAGAAGGCGCGCCTTGTCGCCAAAGGTTTCTCACAAATCGAAGGTCTCGATTATGATCAAGTCTTCTCTCCTGTAGTACGGTTTGAGACTGTCAGATTATTGCTCGCCTTAACTGCGCTGAACAACTGGCACATCACCGGGCTCGATGTAAGGAATGCGTACTTGTACGGCGACCTTGAAGAGCAAATCTACATGGAGCAACCTGAAGGTTTTAAGATCAAAGGCCAAGAGGATAAAGTCCTCCTACTGCACAAAGCTCTGTACGGGTTGAAACAAGCCGGCTTAGTCTGGTGGCGAACACTCAACACGTACATGAAGACACTCGGCTTTAAACGCCTGAGCTCAGATGCAGGTATCTTCGTCCGACGAGAGGCAAATGGCTCTTTAGTCGTTGCTGTTATCTACGTTGATGACGCCCTCTTCGCTGGACCAGATAAGGATCTCGTGAATTCTCTTAAACAGAAATTCATGAATCGCTGGGAATGCAGAGATCTTGGTGAAGCCAAGGAGTTCCTACGCATGTGGATCGTTCGGCATGGCAAAAAGATCTACATCGATCAATGTGCCTACCTTGATAAGATCCTTGAACGTTGCGGTATGTTGAACGCCAAATCGGCTGACACTCCACTTCCTGCTGGGTTTCAACCCGAACCCACCAAAGGCCAATCGAATGCGACTCTTCGGAGTAAATTCCAGATGGTCATTGGATCCCTTCTTTACCTCATGTTGGGCACTCGTCCTGACATTTCCTTCGCTGTTACCAAGCTGGCTCAATTCGCCGCTAACCCTTCAGACGAGCACCTGAACAAGGCACTCTACATCTGCCGGTATCTCATTGGTACTCGATCGTATGCCTTGTGCTACGACGGCACGTCGGGTTTAGGTCTCAGCGCTTGGACTGACTCGGATTGGGCTTCTGACCCAAATACGCGCCGGTCTCAGACCGGGTTCTTCCTGAAGCTTGCCAACGGCATCTTCTCCTGGACTAGCCATGCGCAGAAGACAATCGCCCACTCATCGACTGAGGCTGAGTATATGGCATTGTCTGATTGCTGCAGACAAGTGGTGTGGGTCCGGAATCTGCTAGAGGAAATGGGCTATAACCTCAAAGCCATTCCTATTGCTGGCGACAATCAAGGCTCCATCTTCATGGCCTCGAATCCTGTCACTAGCAAGCACTCGAAACACATCGACATCCGGTATCATTATATCCGTGAAGTTGTCGAGCGTGGTCTTGTGCAAGTCGAATTCATAGACGGCAGTAAGAACCCTGCGGATCTCTTTACGAAGAATCTGCCCCGCGTAAAGTTCGAACCCTTCCGTTCTCAACTTGGGCTTGAGTTTTACTCGCCTTCTACCTCTGGGTCGTCTTCATAGACACCTTTCCGATTGCGCTTCGAGCTCGCTTTATGTGCTGCTCAGCGAGGGGGAGTGTTGAACGGTGGCTATGTCCGCCGGTCCGGCTTGTATTCACATGACGCAACACTATTATTTCTTATTGTTCTTTCTCTCACACGCGTCCAGCTGTATAGTATTACTTAAGGCTGTACGCTCTGCATGTATATAAACCCCTGGGCATTCGCCCTGTAATCTTAACTACTTATCTCGCCTCTCCAACCACTGCGTGCTATCAAGCCACTCAACCCAAGCCTTACTCCAGGTAAGTACTGAGAGCGGTACCACTACGTTAACCCTCCGCTGCTCAACAGTGGGACGAGGCGGGAAAAACACGCTCCTGAAACGGCCTTCGGGCTAAACCTAACTCTTTATTTCTCGGCGTTTCTAAGGAGTGTACGCGCCTTGCAGGCATTGTGGCCCCAGGTGCCACTTCGACGATGGAGATGTGGGATGGATAGAGGGATAGGCACGTGACCAGTCATGTGGTAGGCACGTGATGGCATGTGACCTTGTGGTCGTGATGTAGGGACATGTGATCAGGTCTGGAACGTTCTAGAATAGTCTTGTGCATGTTGACTCAGCGGTTTGTACCCATTGTGCCCATTGCTGGACCCACTGGATATCCATGAAGGATTCCTGTAGTGTTCACTCGTAGTGTACAGTGAGGGTGTGCCCTAAAGGGTCAGCTCAGGATGTATATAAGAACCACCTGTATCGTAGAATAGTTCCCTAACTCGATCTCCTTTGCTTCTCGCCATACTCAGTGTGACCTTGTGTCCTGGTGTATCCAGCCCCAAGCCCACGGTCTCAGTTCACCC